TACCGAGAAGTAAAAACAAGAACAAATCTATTTTCATACCTGAGGATGTCTGTAGGAACAGACGAAAGCTTGTAAAAAATTAAAAAGACCTTATGCAACTGGAATTTACAAACAGGGATCATATCATTCATATACAGGTTCGGGGTTGGTGTATCTTATTGAAATTGTTTGCGAAGATGTATTCTCGCCATTTAAATCATTAACCTCTCTATTTGTTTTATTGTATGAATGATTCATGAATTTTTATATATATATATATATATATATATATATATATATATATATATATATATATATATATATATATATATGTGTGTGTGTGTGTGTGTGTGTGTGTGTTTATGCTCTCGAAATAATTTGATTGGGAACTCGGAGACGAAGGTGTGATTTATAAACAGTGGCTGCTGCTGCTAATGCAGTGCTCGTCTACTTAAATCGGGCTCTCCTAGCTACTGACGTCTTTCGCATAGTAAAAACGTTAAAATTTATCTTCGGCTCTAACGTGCAACGATAGCTTGGGGGTGGGGTAGATTCTCTGACTAATGCCAAATCGGTCGGGTTTCGGTCCCGCCTTGAGGCAATGAGATGTCGAGTGTATATATATATATATATATATATATATATATATATATATATATATATATATATATATATATATATAGTATTTATTCAAATATGCATGTTATAAGGTCACTACAGTAGTTCCAACTTTGTTTCAGCACTGCTGGTGTCTTATAAAGTTATGATGTTGAATGGAAAATGAACAATTTTAAGTGTAGGGGAAAACTTTGTTACGTAATCTATTATGTCCAATCAAAATACAAGTATATGTTTATTAAAATAACATTAATAGCTATTAATGCATTAAAGTTAAGATAATTAGAAATCTATATAAACAATTAGATTAACATTTGAATTTAAAACTAAAAATTTCAAATTTTAATTCTAAACTTAACCATGCGTCAAGCTTAATATTACTTTAAGACTATTCTGAAATTAAACCAGGAGAAAATATAAAATTATTATTGTTTGCAAAGTACCAATGTATCAGTGAAGTTACACGCTGATGGAAAATGTACCTCCCATCGTTACACATACGCTTATGTTCACGCGGTTGAGGTATCAAGGAGGAGATCTTATTTGAAGAAGTTGCCATGGAAATATTTATAAAAAAAAAAAAAGACTGAGTGGAGCCACGTCACGGCGGTGAGGGTTTCCGTCATATCTGGGCTGGGTCTGCCCTGTCCCCACTTACATGTCTAGGTAGAGTTCAAAAGCGTCTACGCGACCTTTTGAATGATGATTTATTTTCCACCCCACAACGCCTTTCCTAAAGACGAAACGACGGAAGCCTTTCTCTATTTTATCGCTATTTCCAGGGCAGGTGTTTTGACGAGCTATATTCCTTGCTTCCACTAATCTGACATTTGCATCTGGGTCCCATAATGTCACGTACACGGGAATAAATCCTCTCCATTCCCACTGTAGAGCACTAATAAGTTCTACACGGGCAGGATCTTCCCAAGAACTGCTACTTTGTGTAGCAGACTCCAAATAGGATGATTGCCGATTTCTAGAATCTTTACCACTTCAAGTCTAGGGTTAAACGTTACATTTCCTTCATATCCTCGTAAACAGCATTTCTATACTTCTATTAATTCCATTCATCATCATACCGTAGTACTCTAACTTGAGTAATTCTTGGGCATTTCACTGGATGAATAAATGTAAATAAACTTTAAAAAGTTAAGAAATAAAAGCATATTTTTTCATTAATATATATATATATATATATATATATATATATATATATATATATATATAAGAAGACGGAGACATTAATTATACATTTCGTTCGTTATATATATATATATATATATATATATATATATATATATATATAAAAAAAACAATCCTTGGATTCAATTTCGCGTTATAATTTATTTCATGAATATATTTAAATATTCATCGCTTCAGACCGAATTTTTTTTATAGAAATGAAATTAATTTGGATTAATGTTCTCCTTTGAATTATCCTTATCAATTACTAATTTGTAATATATATATATATATATATATATATATATATATATATATATATATAAGTATATATATATATATGATAAGTATATATATATATATATATATATATATATATATATATATATATGTGTGTGTGTGTGTATGTGTGTGTTTGTGCGTACAGATAGATAGATAGATAGATAGATAGATAGATAGATAGATAGATAGATAGATAGATAGATAGATACTCTTTGGAACTCTAACTGATTTGAAAGTGAGGATTGGCAAAAATTGACAGAACGTTTTCCATGGAAATACCGATAGAGTAGTGACGGAAGGGGGGGGGGATTGCTTGCCGAGAAAAAATAATTCATTACCCACATGAACGTGCGGACGCTGTTGAAGTGGTATCAAGACTTGAAAGTGACGATTGCGCAGCCCCAATCCACAACTCCAATTTTGGTCTGATCGTTTAAGGGCGATTAATTTCTAGGATGGTAATCGAATCCTGGAGATTTAACAACATTCAAAGCCTGAAAGGAAAATGTTATTTGTATCACGACAGCACAAGGATGCACTTCATTTAAAAAGCTGCACAAAGCAGTCAGAAGCCTGAAATTTAGTGCTGTCGTACATTAGAGCAGATCCATATCGGAGCCGTGCTATTACACTCAATTTGTACGTTGAGGGTTAGAGATAATAAATACGGACACAAGTATGGCGCTCGCTGGGGTTTTATATGAAAATAAGGATACAAGTATGGCACTCTTTGGGGTTTGAGATGGTAAATAAGAAAACAAATATGGCATTCTTTGGGCTTTGTGATACTAAATACGGACACAAGTATGGCACTCTTTGGGATTTGAGATGATAAATGAGGACACAAGCATGGCACTCTTTGGGGTTTGTAATGATAAATAATGAAACAAGTATGGTATTTTGGGGGGTTTGAGATGATAAATAAAAACACAGAATATATTTTTTAAATCTTAGTAAAGATTTAAAAAATATATTCTGTGTTTTTTTTTAAAATAAGATCTTCATTTACTTCAAAGGGAAATTATACTGAACAATTTAATTAATTTATGATGTAATAAGTTATATATTGCTGTAGATTTACTTTGGTTTGCAATAAACAATGCTAATTCTAAATATTTTGTCTCATAATGTGTGCCCAGCAGTTTTATATTGTCATATACACTTTTATCTACTTTTTGTTTTTATCAATTATGTTTTAACAAATGATGCAACAAATCTTATTCATTGAGTAACCTTTTGTAATCTTTTTTGATATAGTTTTTATTTGTCAAATACAGTAAAAAAATTTTTTTTTCTTGTGCTGATTCATAATTAGAATTCTGGTTAGAATATATTTTCCATTCAACCGCACTATCGTACATTTACCGAACAACTCCGATTCGTCCCGATCAGAATTTCGGTTGTTTCCGGGATTAAAATGGCTGTTGAATGTTCAGCTGTTTTCATTTTATATTAAAGTTAAAGTATACTGAAAATCTTATTCGTGAATGTAATAGATTAGGCGATAGAATTTGAAAAAAAACGACTAGCATTAAGCAGTAACATAGTAAATACATATGACATATCAACATGTATTTTCCCACTATTTTAACCCCATTGTTACTTAAATTATAGTTTTATTGAATGAGGTTCCTGTATGAATGTAAGAGGAGAAGATAAGAGTAATTATGAGGATACGTAGGAAGGACGACGGTCGGCTCTAGACTTGGAGAGGTTTAGACTGTAGCGACTAAGGAAGTAGCAGTTCTCAGGAAGAAGCTACCTAAATGTAATTTCCTTTTTACCGATAGAGGTGTAGTGTACTTGGCATGGCGGTTCTATAATGAATATATCTCGACTGAACATTTTTCCATAGAAATCAGGATAGAGTAGCGAGACGCTTGTGACGTGTCTTCTGTGGAAAAGGAGATGTAGAGAGTAAAATTCATCACCCAAGGACGTTTTTAAACTCTATCCAGTCTAGAGGGTGAGGACTGGTCAAGCCACCAGTCTAGTTATTTATCCGGCCTAAAAGCAGTTTACACAATTTGGAGACTCGACTTAACAGTCAGCCCTCGTAGCCGCGGTCGTGTTTATTGAAAGATGCATTGCTGTTTCAATAACTCCGACGAGGAATTATAATTATCAATAATAGTTATTCAATGTTGTTATGATCACAATTTTTTTTTTCTGCTCTGAATTTATCTATCGATCTGTGTAACCTTCTGAGAATTTCAAACTGAAAGCTTCCTTTAATCTACGAAAGTATATTGCTCTCGTTAAGCTGTTCGTATCTAGGGATATATCATCTTGTTTTTGCATCATCATCATCATCATCATCATCATCATCATCATCCTTTAAAACAGGTATGGCCGCTGCACATCTCAGCAGTTGACCAGCTCTCACCATAAGCACTATGTGGAATTTCCAGTTCACTCAGCAACGCGTCAGCGCATTTTTTTCTACCCTGAGATGATAAATAGAAAAAAAGGTAAACACCTGAAGATGGCCAGAAAGTATTTCACCGAAACATCGTGTCTATAATAATAGTAACTGCATAAAAATCAAACTTGTATATATGGACGTCCATATGTTTACGATTCCGTATAATAATATCAAGTCGTCTTGCACAACATCATTTGTGATGATTTAACTCTTTGAGCTCTGTGTTCCTGAACAATTTTAACCCTCCTGCCTGAGCTCCTGAGTCAAAATTCGCCAAAATTGGTATGTAATGTTTCACGGTAGATATAAAAAATAGTTTACTACAATTCAACCGGTGGCTGGGCATTACGTCATTTTTCTCTAAAGTGGTGATTAGGGCTCAAAGATTTAATAAAGCTCAGTTATTCCCATCAGTTAATTCCACTAAATTTGAGTCTTTACTATCCGGACCAGCGATTAAATTCAAAAAGATAAACTCTTAATTATGAAAAGAAATAGACTTATTAATAAACATATTCCCAAGCGGTCACCCATCTAGGTACTGACCTGGCTCGACGTTGCTTACCTTTGGTGATCGTGCGGGAACCAATGTTTCAAACCAGGTGCTGTAATAGATAATAGCTCGAAATTGTTTAGCGGAGAGCCGAGTTCCAGTTCACGTTGGGTTTCTTATATTTATTTCGGCGCAAATACTGTTGAGAAAGGTATTAATCTACCTCTCCCCACACCTCACCAGTCAGAGGTTAATTAGTAAGACTTTTAACACTGAAACATTAGTATCTCCCAAAATATTCTTACAATCTAAAAATGTTTTCTTGCTTTAAATAACATGCAAAGGGTAAACAAGGCTCAGAAAATAAATGATTGGATCATTCAATCAATCGCTGTTTCAACATGATGTCGTTGTAAGCATTGAGTCAGTGTGGAAAAAAATCCAAGTCCACTCAATAACATCGTCAGCTCATTTTTTTAACTATATCAGCCCCTTCTTCTTTTGCATGATGTGGTACCTTTTAGGATGGCAGTGGAAAGATAGTTGATAACTTATAACGTGTCTATACGATTCATCGCGATGTTGTTTTATGGTTAGCAAAATTGCTTCGCTCGATCAGTTTACAACTGAATAGTGAATTCGATCCTCACTGGTTACCCTGTAATCTTGGCCTTGTATCACATCTAAGCTCACCAACACGCAAGTCGCTAGCGACCCGCTGGCGAGCCGCCGATGGAGGCAGCCACCGATGGAGGCAGCCATCGGTGGGACTCTAGCGGTCTGCCAGTGGTAACATTGCCGAGACGAACACGCCAGCGTCCTGAAAGAGGGCCACCAGCGTTAAACGCTAGTGGCATGCCACCCAGTGGAATTTTGGTGGTTTGCGTGTAGGGTCCGCTTAGAAAATCACCATACGACGTCATCTTTTTTCTCAGTTGTTATGAGGTATTGCAATGGTTGCCTTTCTTGTTTGAGAGTGTCTTGGACTATTTCATTTGTTATGATTTCATAAATCCCAGTTATTGCTATAAACTTAATTCACTAAATCCGAGTCTACAGGATCTCGACGCCGGGATTAAATTCAGAAAGATAGTTTCACCATTCTATCTGGTCTCAAACTTGTTTCAGAAGGGATAGAATTTGAAGACCAACTTATTCACTCTTTACGATGGAAAATGTTAAAGTGTACGGTTTGAAATCTCTCATAATTTATGTGTAGTTGAAACGTAAACTATAATCCCATACAACTGAAAATAAAACTTGAATATTTTGTTCATCTTCATTTTGTTGTCCTTGCGAAGAATTGGTTCTTTTAGAATGACCTGCAGGTTTTCTCCAAGTTCGGAATAATTTAAACGACGCCTTTCACATCAGTCAGTTAAGTGTCATATCTAATACACGCGTTGGCGTTCACATCTCTTTCGATTCATGACTGACGAAGCAGAATATTTCCCCACAGTAGGTTGCCATTTTATTCTGCGTTAGACTGGTTACCAACCAAGGCTATAGTCTCTCCTGCTGTTCAACACACAGCTGAGAAGGAAGAGATGAATTCATATCTTTCCCAACTGTAGTTGTGCCAAAGTGAATGTAACGAACCTGACTGGGATTCGAACTCGCCTTTCCGATATCTCTTTCTGAGTAAAATACTTTAATACTCAACCATCTGACAAACTCAAGGGAAATAGAGACAGTTAACCAATTTTGGACTACGAGGACTTCCAGATAGCCAGAGGTTTTGTACTGGAAAAGCCCTGTCTATAATGACATTTAGAACAATTAAAGATGAGAACAAAGAATCGAATAAGTCAAAGCTATTGACACATCCCCATCGCAAAAAAAAAACAAACAGAAATTATCAACAGCTGTACGAACTCCCTCTAACATCCCCATCGCAAAAGAACAACAAACACAATTATCAACAGCCGTGCAAACAAAAATTTTAATAACAAAAGTACAAAACTAACTGTATTCTATTGATAGCTCCATTATATGGCACGGTGATTTATGGGATATGAGCGTGTTATCTCGTAGTTACGAGTTCAATACCAGGATCAGATAGTGAAGTATTCTACCGCAGGTTAGCAGAAAAGGACAAGAATCAATATCACAGGGACAAAAATAAAAGAAAAATAAATACATAATTGATTCACTTTCAAAAGAGTTATTCTAGAATATTATCGAATCCAGCCGAGATGGACTGAAGTTATTCTAAAGGTCAAACGAGTCCAACTACTTACTAGAACTGATTTATTGTCTGATTCGTTTTTCTTTTTTACTGCTGATCAACCCATTGCAGGTTATTTAAAACAAGAAAATACTTTTAGATTGCAAGATTTTCTTTTGGGTGATAATAATGGTTTATTGATACACATCTTACTAATTAACCCATAGCTGGGAGGTAGGTGGATTTATATCTTTCCCAAATGGCACTTGCGCGTAAGTGAATCTAACGATCCCAATGGCTATTGGAACTCGGCTTTCCGATTAACAATTCCGATTCATTATCCATTACACCACCCGCACATCCAAGCTTACACCTAGTTTTCCCAAGCGGTCAACCATCTAGGAACTGACAAGTTTCGACGTTGCTTAACTTTGGTAACCGTACATGAACCGGTGTTTCAACGTGATGTGTCCGTAAGCTCAATAAATACATAAGATATTCATATAATAATAAATAGACAAAATGATGAACACCTGAAGATCACCAAAAGGTATTTCACCGAAACATCGACTCTGTAATAATAGTAACTGTATAAAAATTAAATTTATATATATGGACATTCATATGTTTAAAATGATCAAATAATAATATCGAGTCACAGAAAATTCTTCGTGGCATAGAGACTGAATTGCTGGTACAGAAATCAAATATCAATGAATTCTATTCTTTCTGGGTTCACAAGGAAATGAGTCACACGCAACACTTGATTTCTGTTAAACAATGCAAACGAACGTGTTTCTTTAATTATTTATAAGAAAGGCTGTTTTCTAAAAAGAAATGCAAACTGCTAATGACTTTCGTAATTTATTTTTCTGAATGTTTTTACTTCGAGTTTTTTGACATTGACAAAAAACATTCTGATTTAAGTATTTTGCTGTTGGTCAATTTTGCATTTAAAATTAAAAAAAAAAATAAAGAACGAATTTTTCTGTCCGCGCTCTAGTGTCACCAGAAGTCCAACATAAAAATTAATCAGTCGATCAATTTATCAGTCACTAAAAATGATGGTGCTTTTAGGGAATGAAATTAACTGCAAATAATTAACATAATTTGATGTCGGGACACCAAGAAAAGAAGTTCCTGAAAATGGCTGAATCAAAGAACCAATTATAGATCATTGCTTGAATTGTGTCAATCTTGAGTTAAATAACGGTTGCCGTGGCACTTGAAGATGTAGGTGATCTAGCTCTCCATAAATTCCTATCTATGGAATGTTTGTCTCCTTACTATCATTCTGCGACCCTTTCCTGCCATCAATTTGCACAAAATTGTTGGCTATGTTAATTTTCCTCTTCCTCTCTTTTCTTCTGTGTGTCCTGTGTGCGTCAACTTCTCGAAGACTAACTTACTCAATATGTGTCCCTGAATTTTCAATTGTCTCATTTTAATTCTTAACACAAATCTCCTTTTTGCTTCCATTTTACGTTTTCTTCCGCGTTGCTTAAATTTTCTATCTAAGGTATTCTTAGCATTCTTCTGCAGAAGCACATCTTTGTTGAATCAACTCTCCTCAGCATCTGTGACTAAATTGCCCAATACTCACTCATATAGGCAATTGATAATAGTTTTCTAACGAAATTTTTTTGTTTCTTAGAACATTATTTATTTTGGGAAAGACATCTTTTGGCTTTCCGATGTACCTTCAGATTTCGCTGTTACATTTTATATAACATTCTCAATATTCTAATTATATATATATATATATATGTGTGTGTGTGTGTGTGTGTGTGTGTGTGTGTGTGTGCGCAAATATATAGAAAAATAGGAAAGAACCGTCAGGTTAATAATCCGAAGTTGTTTAGCATTTTTGTTTTATTTTTAAAACAAACAGTGCTCAATACACAAGTAGAGCCTAGATTATAATTATTGTTTTTTTTTTAAATATGATTCCATCGCTACACAAGAGTTCTCATATTTCAAAAACAGAAGCTAAAAATTAATTTAATTTCTATAATTAAATTGAAGTTTTTAGCTTCCGTTTTTGAAACATGAGAACTCTTATGTAGCGATGGAATCATATTTTAAAAAATAATTATATATATATATATATATATATGTGTGTGTGTGTGTGTGTGTGTTTCGGCAGCATGTTTTCATTGAGACATGTTTCGTTGAATAATTTAGATATGTTCTGGCTACTTATTTTCGACACGATCCTTTCATATGCGCGGATAAGCTTTTTGCTGTCATTATTGAAGGACGAGAGAAAATCGCCGTCTTGATACATATTTCTTTTATTTCCGAGTATTTTCGACATAGCACAATGTCATCATCAGGGTATTTTTTATTACAGGATCAATGTTGTAGTGTTCATTATTGTGAAAGACAAAAATCGTTGTGATAATCTGAAAATTAAATTTCTTATATGTGGAGTAAGGGTTTCTGAGTCAGATCGTCACCACTGACACCGTGTAAGGTGAGGTAACTTGGCGGAGAGATTTTATGAAATGAGTAGTAGAAAAAATAAAGCAAAGAAATATTAGTGTGGCACCATTTACGAGGCAGAGAAAGGAAGAGAAAGAAAAGAAGGCAGAAAAGAAAAGGCAGAAAGCGAAAAGAAAGAGACGAATCGTAGGTGATAAGCAGCCACACACACGGCTAAGAGACAATGAAAATATTGATAAGTAACAAATGAAAGAAAAGGGTGTCATTACAATGACAGGGAAATTCTGAGTAAAAAAAAAAAGGAAAGAAAGAAGGAATCAGATGTGTTTTGATAACGGCTGTGTTATCTAGGTGCGTAAACGAACGGCTGGACCACTGGCCAAAGAAAAATTCAAATGAAAATGCTATTTCGATAAGTGACGAAAAACAGGCTACTAAAAAGGACTTTGGACAGATATGAAAAATTAAATCCCACACAAGCAGTCTCGCTGACCGAATT